TTTTTACTCTCATAGAAGTTGGAATCGATAGATCATAGTTAAACGTATGGATTTTTTTGTATACAACAGTGTAGGTATGTTTTTAAAACGACAAAAAAATAATACGCATAAATATTGTCAGCTTCTTTGAAAAAAAAAATTAAAAAAAGGTAAAACGAGATTGCAATAAGAATTAAATAAAATCTAGCCAAAACATTACACGATTTAGATAATTTTGATAAAATGACCACATGCTATGGTTTTGTATAATATCGTTAGGATTTACTCTATTATTAACAACTCAGATGTCATTGACACCGCGGTGTTAATTTCAAAGCATAATACAAGAAAAACAGAACACAATCTAAGAATTTTACGTTTTATCAAACCGCGATCAACTAAGGCCACTGAACCCATATTTTCGAATAAAATTTTATTTTTGTTAATTTCTTTGTTCTTAACAAACTTTTATAACAGTATCTGTGAAATAAAATAAATCGAATTCGCAGTATTTTAATGATGCTTTCTGAGATATTACTGAAAATTGAAAAAACATGTTCCCACCGGGGTAATACGCTCGTGTGAAATTATTTGGACACTTCTAATTACGGAACATGTTTTATGTCCGTTTAAACTGAATTCCAAAATGTTTTTTTTTGTATCATACAAAATACATATCATAGCAAAGTAATTCTCTTACCGTGATACATATGATGTAATGATGATGCTGCATTATTATGTACAATTGTATCAATACATATTGTAGTCTGTATTTTTACAAAGAGAATGAAAGGGATGAGAGTATTTTTCAATACACATGGTATTACATTTGAGACCCACTCTTACGTAGATACCTCGTTAAAAGAACCTGGGAAGGGAAATTACCAATGACAATGTATTACGACCGTAATTATAAATATCAACAACATTGATTATGTTAATATGGAAATAACCAAGACTAGACGGAGGTTGCGTGTAAGGCCGTCTTTATGTGCGTAGTGGGCGTTCGCAAACGTCGTCAGCACGGACTTTAAAATCATGGGTTATACAAAATATTCCCGTGTCCATGAGTTCAACTACCTCCCCGTCGAAATCCCGTCAAAATCGGTTCACCCGTTTCAGAGATAACCCGGAATAAATGCGGCTTGCAGACAGACAAAATTAATTAAAAACAGCATTATCGTTTTTTTAGCATTGTATGGCATCTCCTAGGCCCAATAGGTCTCAAAGCAAATAAAAAATAGTAAATAACATGATGTTCTGAAGGCATAAACGACATCTAAGACATTTAAAAGTTTTGCACTCTAATTATAGATAACCTAGAGCTTATTTTATAAGGATGTTTGTCGAAAAAGATTTTCGTTTTATAATTACACAATATTACACAATTTATGGTACACATTATTTATAAATTTATGTTCGCGCAATAAATATAAAAAGTTCCACTATCTCTATTCCATGTGTTAATAGCCGTAAGTCAATAGTAATGAGTCAGGCTGCGCTTTAGTTTTTCAGAATCGCTTTTGAATAAATAGGCGGGCACCTCACCCAGCACCATCATTACTCGACGAGATCCAGTAAAATGAAGACTGTAAGTAATACCATATATGTCCTTCTCAGTTTTAAAGTTAAAATAAAATATTTATTTTAAATTGTCAATTTAATCTTTGTAATTAATTTCTTTAGACAACGACTTACTTTCTTCAGAGTCCTTTTACAATATTTAAAATAACGCTCGTTAATTATTTTAGAATCCTTATTCCAGGTTTATTTAACACATCATTCAGGGTCCGGTACATAAAAATGTAAAAATATATATTGAAATGATTGCACTTCCAACTACATTATTGTGATATGTGTATATATAAGATATTATTTCGTTACTGAATTATTAAAATAAAAGCTTATTATGACTAATTTGCTCTCCAGATCGTGTGTGTCGGTTTGTTGGTATGCTGCGTGGTGGTCGCAAGCGCTCTGCCCGCGC